GTGTGCTGGTCGAGTGTGGGTGTGGGTGGCGCCCGCTGTCCCCGTTCTGCTGGTCGAGTGTGGGTGTGGGTGGCGCCCGCTGTCCCCGTTCTGCAGGAAATGCTGCCTCAGTTTCATCCAGATCACTCACTTCCACATGATAGTCCCCGGGAAACTTAAGGCTGGAAGGAAAACCGACAGAAAGGAAGGTAAGGAGAATGTTTGTTATTTCCTAGGAAGCGACATCACCAGGTCCAGGCGCCCTGGTGTGGGTGTCAGCAGACGCATGGGCTCAGCTCAGAGTGGGCCAAGCCCAGAGCCATGTCCCTACAAGTGACTCACGTGGAAAGGGACACAGGCTTCCCAGGGCAGTTTCTTGGTGTCACAGAAACCCTGGCTTTCCTGGAGATGGCCATGGAGGCTGTTCCAGCTGTAACCTGCAAGACTGATTCTCGCCCCGGAGGAGACCTGCAGAGGGTATCCGACTCCAGCTGGGGTCTCACCCGGCCCCTGGGCCTCCGGTGCAAGTCAGCTTAACTCCAACCACCTGAAGCTGCAACAACACGAGACGGGAGGCGCCGCTGCCCTGGAGACTCCTCCGACGCATCCTGCCCAAGAGACCCCATCCTGCCAGAGAGACCCCATCCCACCAGAGAGCTCACTGCCTTGGCCAAGACTGTGCAGTCTCTAATTTTAACAGAAGCACCAAAATGGCTAAACGTTGAAAATTGCCAAATATATCACCGACATTCATATAGACAATGCCACTGCGTGGTCAGTGGCTAAGCCCAGGATTGGACCAAATTCCCATTTCCCATTCAATTCTGCACGACTCAGGTGGCAAGTGACGGTTTAGGGAAAATACCGACTTTCACTGTAGTCATAAGGGTGATTCCAAAACTCCCCACAGGGGACTAGTGGGTCTTGGTCAGCTTTAATGAGACAGGGCAGATGGCCCCAGCAAGGCAGACGTGAGCCATGATGTACACAGGGAATCAAATACTTAAAAAGAGTGTAGCACTCTAGCTCTGCAGTATGGAGAAGGGATGGGACTTGCACTCAGAGGGAGGGTCTCAGAATTCAGAAACCGCCTCTCCTGGAGGAGGAAGAGGGGATGGGCCAAGCACAGTGTGGTGGAACCACTGAAAAATGGCAAATGGAAGGTCCTGCTTGATGAAGAAAACTTCAGAACCTGCCAGAAGGGGTGATTCTTGCCATTGCTTCTCCAGCCTCTCAGTCCACAACATGCATTTTTTTTTTGTAAGGAATTAGAAATGTACATGGGTGTCTAATATTTTTATTTGTTTTGTTTCGATTTGAAGGCTTTTTAAACAACAACAACAAAAACATAAAATGTAAACTCAAATCGGAACACTGATGTGAAGCTCTAAACCTTTCTGCCAGTGGTCAGCAGGCATTTCACTGCCTTCCACCACCGGCCCGAGGCTGAGATTGCAGGAATAAATGACTAAGAACTTCTGAAGAGATGCTCACCCCGGGGACAAAAGTTTTCTAGGGAATCATTTAAGCTGTAATGACATTTTAGATATGAGACAGTAGAAATCAAAGACTTTTTAGTCACCCGTGAAATCACCTCTTCCAGCTATAATCATTAAATCCTCCAACTTGCATGAGGGAGTTTGATAAGAACTTCTGGGAAACACTTGGGTGAATTAGCCCACTTTTGGGTCCATAGGCAAGACATGCATTTCCAGAGTCAAAAATCTCCAATATCTCACTAATAGAAAAGAAGGCTTTCTCCACGAGCATTCTGGATTATTGAACTCAACCTCATATTAAATATATAAATTTCATCTAAAGAATAAGCTCCAAGATCCAATCGTGTGTCCCTGAATACCTGAAATGAAAAAATACACTCGCGTTGTGAACGCCGCATGACAAAGCCACTGTGTAAACTCCTGTGGATCAGTGCAACAGCAACGTGAACCCAGCATGTGCAATTTTAAAACGTCTTCAATATTTGACAGTATTAAATATGCTTGTGGCCCAATAAACAGTTCTTGAAATTTGAATGCATTTTTATTTAATAACTCACAAGATAAAACTTTCTATAAGCATCAGCCTCATGAATATATTTCCTATGGAAGAGTCTACAGAATTGTTTGGTCTTAACCAGAGAGTTATTTAAAAAACAACAATATGGGCTGCTTTTGACTTTCAGCAGAACAAGATGATTTTTACCTGAAAACAAGATAAAAATTCTGAAGTCAGGGATATTGTGATTTAAAACAGGGATTTGCGTGATCGTTTGAGAGCACGCCTAACAGTTTCAGTTAATCCGTCCACCCCAGAGAAGCTCCCTCCTATGCCTCAGCTCTGCTTCCCGGCTGCAGGAGGCCTCCTGGCAATGTCCCCTGGGATCGCTCCCACCCTCCACGTGCAGATTCTGCAGGCTGGAAGCACAGCCCCATGCCAAAGGGGATGTCAGGAACACACGCGTGAACACACACTTGATCGGTGAGAAGAAGACCTGAAGGCATGGGGGGACACGATGTATTTAAAATGCAGGATGCCGCCTGGCTGGGTCAGAGCTGAGGGAGGGCGCAACTGACCCCATGTGCTTCTTGGCTCCTGCTCGTGTGGCTTGTGTTGTGTGCATGAGTGTGAGCGTGAGTGTGCATGTGTGTCTGAGAGTGTCAGTGTGTGTGTATGTGCATGTGTGGGACAGCTTGTGAATGCCTGTGTGTGTGTGCATATGTGAAGCTCTCTGCGTGCAACTGTGTGTATGCAAATATGTGTGCATATGTGTGTACTTGTAAGTATGCATGATTGTGTGTATGCAGGTGTGGGTGCGTTTCAACCTGTGTGTCAGTGTGTGCATGGGTGCATATGGGTGTGTATGTATGTGTGTGTGTGAACATGTGTGTGTATGCGTGACTGTGAACATGTGTGTGCATGTGAGTGAACATGTGTGTGTATGCGTGTGAGTGTGCATGCATGTGTGACTGTGCATGTGTGTGAGTGTGCATGAGTATGTGTTTCTTTGTGTGGAAAAGGTAGGGTGTCAATGGGTTCCCCACAAATCTGTCCACAGCAGTACTTTGCTCACAGGTGTTTAACTACAGTTGTGCTCCCCACTCCCCAGCTAGACTTCCATCTTAGGAGGCCAGGGCAGGGCCTTTTCTGTGTTAAACTCTCCCGGAGGCCAGGCGCAAAGAGCAAGGGCCTGGGCTGAACAGTGCTGTGCACAGCTGGGGACCTGCCCTGGCCTCTGGGCTCTGGGAAGAATGGGGTTTTCAGGGTGGGGGCTCGAGCACGCTGTGTCCTGACCCTGCCCGGGTGCTGTGCAGGAAGTAGCTCAAGGCAATGCTGTGGGTGTGCTCAGGACCTGCCTGTGGGCCATGAGGCTGGGCCCAGGCCGGGGTTCCTGTAGAGGGTGAGCCTCAGGGTAGGGGCTGGGCTGTGCGGCCTCCATGGTGGGTCCTCAGGGCTGCCCTGGAGGTGCTCATGCTTGGTGTCCTCCCAGCTGAGCCTTGGGAGGGGCCCCAGGTCGGGGAGAACAATTGCTCTGAGATGACTAATGACAGAAAACTGGCTGGCACAACATCCGGTTCCCAAACACCTCATTCTTCACATAGCCCCAGCGGCACGACCCTATGCACCTTGCCTGATCCCCCGCGGCAGACCCTCTACAACTTCCCCGAGCCCCCGCGGCAGACCCTCTACAACTTCCTCGAGCCCCTCCCTCTCGGCAGACAGCTCCTTCTCTGCTGTGCTGCCCATTACTTTTTACAACACATCTTTATACTTTAACAAATCTGCCGTTCCTTACCCAAAACAGTCTTGGTACATTCTTTTACCACTTGTGACACTGGCCCTGTCGGTTGCACCCGTGACACTTGTGTGGTAGCTTTGTTCTCATGAGGATGAGCCCCTGAGCTGTGCTGGGCTGACCTGTGCTCCCTCTGCTGGGCACATGTGGTCCCAACAGGCCAGTCCCTCTGTCCCTCCACCCCCTCCACCGTGAAGGCACTGGCTGCAGGTGTTTCATACGCTGCACTGACATTTTATCCAGGTCTAGTCAGAGGAGGCTCAATTCTCATCCTCTGCAGCTCTGCCTTGGATGCTGGGAGGTTCTGGGATGATGCTTGGCTCTGTGAGGGGCCAAGGTGGAGGGTGGGAGGCCCAAGGGTCCCTGCTCCGCTGCAGGCCCAGCCCCGCCCACCTGCAGGAGCCCCTGCAAGGCAGAGCTGAGGACCTGGTTGGAGTGTGAGGCTGCAGGTGATGACGCCTGTGTTATGAAAGGGTCCCTAGGCAGTTTTTCTCTTATTTTCATGATTCCCGGAAAATAAATCACATAGTTCATGTTTTTTTAATGAACTAGTGTTATGTCAGCCTATCTGAGTAACGTGACGTGGAGACACTTGGGCAGGCACATTTTAGAGGACTTGAGTTCTGTAGAAGCACTGTCACTCAATTCTCACCTCAGTGACAGATTCTAGAGGTTCATGTTTATATTAATAGTGTAAATCAAAACTAAAATCCTAAGTCCTCAAACTGACTGAACAGATCCCCTCTTAGCCAAGAGGACTCCAGAGAAACTTGAAAAACAGAGTTCCCAGTCACAATAGGAAGGCGAGTCGGACACGTTGCCTTAGTCATCCTCCCTCCTGTTTGGATTTAGGCACAGCTGAGCAGCATTAACTTTAAAGAAGAGATCATGAGACTGACAGAGCAGACTCTTCGTGGCAGTAAGACACCAAATTCCAGCCTGACGTTAGCACCACAGGACAGATGGAAGACCCTGAAGGTAAGCAAAATATTTCACTCCAAACCATATTTATT